GCCTCCAAGCGCTTTCCATTTTGTTAATTGCTGCGTGCTGCGCGCGGCGGGGGCCGGCGCAGTCGAGCAGCGGATGCGCGACAGACCGCTTTGGGATGAGGGCCTTGGGGGGGGCAGCACCAACAACGTCCCACTCCGCGGCGTTGCCACTCGTGTCGTTCAGCCCCTGCGTCGCACATGAGCCGCTGCCCTCATCATGGCCTCTCGACTCCCAACCCCTTCCATGCGTTGTTGCATGCTGCCCGTAGTGGCAACCGACGCAGTCGACAGGCCGACGAACAACAGGCCATCCTGTGGGGAGGGGCTAGAAGGGGACAGCAGCTACGGCGCTCCACTCCACGGAGCTGCAGTCCACGTCGTTCAGCTCGCCAAATCGAAGTCGAAGAGCGCACCGTTTCCGAAGCCATTTTCGCTGATGGACCTGCAAGGCCTGATTTCTGTCATCGCGCGTCACTTCCTTGGCGACACACTTCTGAATTTCCTCCATCATGACGCCCTCAAGCCGCGAGCAGCAGCTGTCGGAAAGGGTCATCTGAGCAAGCGAGTCGAGCACCTCATTCGCCTCCCCGGGTCGAGCCCAAACGTCAGTCTACATTAATATCTGGTCGGGCATCCGCGAAAAAAGGCTCCATCATAGCGTCTCTATTCCATTGAATTCGTTTGTGCTTAACCTCCTGGATCCGTTGCCACGGCGGAACCTGCAACCTCGCGCGCAAAAGCACGTGGTCCCGTCGGGCTCGTGCATTGATCTGCTGTAACTCTCCAGATAGGGCGCTCAAGGTGCCCGAGGTCAGACTGTCGTCCAATGCCCAAATCACAAGTACGTACGAATAGTCAATCGAACTCTTGCTGCTGTCTGCAAACCATGCGGGCCGTCCATGTTGAGCAGAAACTCGTGAAGGCTTCGCGATTCAAAAAAATCGCGCGTAAACTGACCCGCAAGGTGTTCAGGTCTCAAGCCTGCGCGGCTAATCACGGATGTTTCGATCACTTTATGGCCGGGGTCAACCGTGAGATCCATTCCGTCATTTAAATCCGCCAACAAGATTGGAATACTTTTGGGCGGGATGTTTCCCAAAATCTGTGATGCCCAGTCGTGCAATCTCGAACACGCCGGTCGTACTTGGGAGCTTCTGATTTCGCCTCGAACCCTGGGGCAAGTATAGTCCGAGGAACGTGGAACCGTACATCTTTGAGCTGAGCCCTAACCGCAAGCCGCCTACCAGCTAAATATTGTCCAGGAACCATATATGTCTGAAATGTGTGTGCGCGCGTTTGATTGTACATCCGAAGCTGAAGATTATGTCCGCCGTCTGATGCATATGCCTGCCTCGGGAGGATCCTCCTTTCACCTGCCATCTAGTGAACATGCGCCGTTGCTGAGGACCGCCCTCGACCCCGTTCCTACCAGCCCCACGGCGTCGGAGTTGTGGCAGGCAAGGTTGATGCCGTCCTGGCGTTCGCGACGGGACGCGGAGAGAGGGCTGAACAGTTGTAAACGCCATAGATGTAGGAGGTGTAACACGGGTTGGGCCTCCTGGCCTCCTCCTCCGAACTCTCGAGAACACGTTTCAGTTTCAGATGTAAGAATGCCCCCGCTGCCATTGCAAGCCACCAGCAGACGCATAATTAGTCCTGACGAATGATCTGCTATTAAAGATGTCAGAGTCTAGCCGCCTTACTTTGCCCGATCATAGCGGCAGCTAGCCCACCAAACAATAGAGAGAAAAAAAACTCAGCCGCGACGACGACGACGACGACGACGAAGGGGAGGGGTGGAGGAAGAGGAGAAGGCTGAGGAGGAGGAGGCGGAGGAGGAGAAGCAGGAGGAGGACGAGGAGAAGGAACAGGAGGAGGAGGGGGGAAGGAGGAGAAAAAGGAGGAGGGCCGAGTATTTTCCCCACCGGCAGAAACAGGGGGTGACCAAAACTAAAGACCTACTGAGCTCACATCTTGGGCAACAAGTCGGGCGCCTTGAACGCTTTCGCATTGTACAGGTCGGACGTGGCGTGCCGTCGCCGCGGCGAGACTTGGAAATCCTCGTGACGAGCCTCTTCGGGGAACAAATGATGGCACAAACAGAAAACTTCGGAGACCCGCGCGAAGTTCTCGGATCGGCGCTGCGCCTCCCTCACTGGCCCGCGAAGCGCACCAGGGGCGGCGCCAGAGGCCGCCAGGGGCGGCCCAGCGCCGATCCAAGGAATCAGCGCGGACCTCCAGAAGTTGATGCCCACGTCACCGCTCGCTCCTCGACTTCCCCATCTCGGGGGGGGGGGGAGTCCGCGAAGCTCAGCGCGGCCGGAGGCCCCGAGTGGCTGGGCCCAACGGGCCTGCGGATCCTGCAGGGGGCGAGGGCGCCGGCCGCCGGAGCCTGGCGCGGCCTTCCCGTGGCCGCCCGACGACTCGCCGGGGGGGCGAAATGGTGAAGCCACTCTCCCGTGCTGGGGCGCGCACGGGTCGTTCTGGGGTTCGAGGGTTGCCACGATGCAGGCGCCGCCCACGCGTGGGCCTGGGTAGCGCCCACCGCTCGCCGACGGCTGGGATACCGACGCCCGCCAGGCTCGCCGTCTGGTTGAGCAAGGAAAAGGGGCTCGAGCAGGAACTGGCCACGGACGGAGATGGTGATAATGGCGATGGTAAGGAAAGAGGTGACGAAATGATGCGGATGTTGACGCCGATGCCGATGCCGATGCCGATGCCGATGTCGCTGATGACGATGATGATGGTGATGATGATGGTGATGATGATGATACTGGTGATGAGGAAGAGGAGGATAAGGGTGAGGATGGCGATGATGATGCTGATGCTGATGCTGACGCTGATCGTGTTGGTGATGATGATGATGATGATGATGATGATGATGATGATGATGATGATGATGATGATGGGCATGCTGCTGATGATGATGGTGGTGCTGATGATGATGATGATGATGATGATGATGATGATGATGATGATGATGATGATGATGATGGTGGTGGTGATGCTGATCATGATGAATTTTTGTGCATCGCACAGCGGCAGGCGAAAGGACCGCGTTCAGCACAAGTAGCAAGACATAGCACATGCAGACTCGCGGATGCCTGCAGGCAACCAGTCATACGCAGACATAGCCCTGGAATTGGGCAACTCGCATAGCAAGGTGCCCATAAGATGTATCGGACCCTATAGGCCAAAATTGTGCCGCAACCCCTACCGCATCGATAGACCCATTGCATGCGAAACCCGGGTGGCGGCCAGGCAGCCACTTATATAAAGTGCACCATGGGAGCCAAACGAACTGCCGACAGTAGCGGAAAAAACACGATCGCTCTGGACCCGGGCCCGGGGGCGAGGAGGAGGAGGAGAAGGAGGAGGGGGAGCACCAAGGAGGGGGCGCGCAGGAGAGCGGCTCACGCCGTCGCCGCCATAGCGTCGTACCCCAGCACCGGCATCAAGATCTCCGTGGGCGCCAGCGAGAGCGCCTGGAACACCTGTGAGCTAGGCAGCTTGCCAGTGCGTTGGGGTCGGTGGTGGCGTCGGCGCTGGTGTAGGCGCTGTAGCTCGTGTTGGTGTCAATGCTGGCGTCGACGCTGGTGTAGGTGCTTGCGTCGGGACTGGTGCAGGCGTCCGGGTGAATGCTGGCGTCGGTGCTGGCAGCGCCGCTGGCGTAGGCACCCATGTTTGCTCTGGTGTAGTTACTGGAATCGGGGCCCGCGTTGGAGGCGGGGCCGGGGGTGGGCCCAGCGCCAACGTCGAAGGGGAAGCGGAGGTGTAAGCTGAGTCTGCGCCGGAGCAGAAGTCGGAGCTGGAGTGAAGGTACGTGCGGTTGGCAGCGTCGATGGTGGAGGCTAAAGCGGTGGTGGTAGCAAGAATGGTGCCGGCGCAGACGCGGGCGATGGAGATGGCGTCGGTGCCGGCGCTGGGTGCGACACGCGGGCGTCCACCCAACGGGCACGGCATGCAGGCACCTGCACAATCAACATCGCCAGGAAGGCCCCCCGCGTCACCTGGAAGACGCCCGGCCCGCCCAGACCGTTACTCTACAAAGCCGATGCAGCACAGTGGAGGTGTTTGTGATTATGGTGGTGGTGTTTGTGATTACGATGATGACGACGATGATGATGATGCTGATGTTGATGGTCCTGAACATGGTTGTGATATGTTGAGGATGAGGATGATGATGTGTTGACAGCTATGATGGTGACGATGATGGTGATGATGGTAATGGTAGTGGTGGCTGTAGTGGTGGGGAACATGATGATGATCACCGTTATGGCGATGATGCTGATGACGACATGCTGATGAAGGTGGTGATGATGATGGTGGCGATGATGGTGGTGATGATGATGAGCGCACTGCCAAGGACGTAGCTGGCATGATGATCATGCTGTCCATGACGATGCAGATGGCGAGGATGATCCCAGCGCGACCCCAATAAGGGGGAACCGTCCTATTGCATGGGAGCAGTGCTTGGCATTGCTTGACATTGCTTGGCATTGCTTGGCATTGCTTGGCAGTGCTTGACATTACTTGACATTGCTTGGCATTGCATGGCCTTGCTTGGCATTGCTTAAGACTGCTTGGAACGGGCACAATAAAAATACGAAACACCGGGGGCAGGGAACCGGGGAAACCCGGGGAACCCGAGGAACCCGGGGAACCTGGGGAGCCCGGGGAACCCGAGGAACCCGGGGAACCCGGGGAACCCGGGGAACTTGAAGCACCAAGGGAACCCGATGAATCTCCGAGGAACGGGCAACGTAACAATAGGAGGCACCGGGGACGGGGAGGGGAACCCGAGGAACCCAGGAACCCGAGGAACCTCCACGCAAAGGTCAACGTAACAGTAGGAGGCACTGGGGGCGAGGATCCCGAGGAACCCGAGGAACCTCCGACAAACGGGCAAAGCAACGATACGAGGCACCAACCTTTAACTGAGTCCTTTGGCAAGCCTACTTGGGGAGTGAGGACACTTTTTGAAAGGCAGCGCGGCGCGGCTGCAGCTCGCGCGACACGCGGGCGAGCACATTCCGCCGAGGGCAGCGCTGCCTGTCAAAAGCCCTCCCCCTCCTCCTCCCGCTTCTCCCTCCTTCTCCCCTCCTCCTGCCCCTCCTCCTCCCCCTCCTCCTCCCCCTCCTCCTCTTCCTCCTCCTGCCCCTCCTCCCCCTCCCCCTCCTCCTCCTCCTCCTCCTCCTCCTCCTCCTCCTCCCCCCCCCTCCCCCTCCTCCCTGACGCGCTCGCGCTCGCGCGCGCGCCGCTCAGGCCGCAGCGCAGCGGTGCAGCTCGTGGAGCTGACCCAGGCCCACGGCGACCTTGGCAGCGGGCGGGGGCGGCGGCGACGGCAACGGCGACGGTGGCAGCCGATACGATGTTTCAACTGGCGGTTCCTCTTAGTTTTGGGCCTGCTTTGGGCCCGTCAGCGGGCCCCAGGACCATCAAAAACGGATCCAAGGCGAAAAACTGGCGGTGGGGAGGGGGTAGGGAGCTCCAAGGCCGCGGATTGAAAAAATCATGTCGGAGGGTGTCTGGGACGGCGACAGCGACGGCGGCAGCGGCGGCTGCGACGCCGGCAACGGCAGCGGCGGCGGCGACAGGGATGGTGGCGTCGGCGGCGAGGTGACGATTAGGGCTGGGGAGAGCTGGGCGGGCTGCTTTGGCGACGCACGCCATGTCCTGGGCTGCAACGGCATACCCGAGGCACAGCTGACTGAAGCGGACGAGGTGGAAAGAGGAATGACGCCACAGCACGGAACTAATCGGAAGAAGGGGATAGCCAGCTTGATGTATATTTTAATGCAGAAGGATCATCAGAAGTAGGACGCTCAGATCCCCCGTGGGCCGTGAATCACTCATGACTGCCACAACCATCCCTGGCATTTTCATCAGAAGTAGGCCTCTCAGAGATGACGGTGAAACGCAGCAGATGGAAAAGTCAAAGGCAGGGAGAATGAAGTGGCAGCCAATGACAAGCCTGGCCACGTGGAGAGCCACGGAAGCAGGCCCAACTACGGCCATCGCTCTTGACGTTGCCCTTGCCCTTGTTACGTGATCCAGCCACTGGGCGCGCACGTTCGCGCGGAGCGGATCGCGGTCCTCACCTCAAAAGCGTCCAGCCCCCCCCCCAAGAGCTGCCACAAACAGACAGTGCCAGACCCGGCACCGTCCTGCAAGGCGCCACGCCAGCAGGCCCTCACCCAGTGTCGGGCTCTGAAGCCTCAGAGCGTCGAGCACGAAATAACGGACCCGATAACCCCTGGTGAATTATCCTCGCTCCGCGCCTCCCCCCGATCGAGCACGGGCGGTTGCGGTGAGGAGTCGCCAAAGGACCTCGGATCTGGACCAGGGCTGGCGTTTCTCTTTCTCTGGCTTTGGCTCCGCTCCGCGTTGACCCCGTCCACCTCTGCGCGGCCGCCGCCACATCCGAGGCGGCACTGTGCGACCGCGTGCCCTGCCCTGCCGCGTGTGGAGCATGGTCCCTCACAGCAGGCTCATGTCGTGACGACACCAGCGTTAATCTCTGACACCGCGCGGATCGTTCAGCCTTGGACGATCGGCGGCGCTTCGATCGCCAGATCGTTGCAAGTTTGGCTGGTTCCAGGCCTCTGGCCACTCTCAGCCGCCGCCGCGTCGACGAGACACGAATCTACCGCACCCAGGGGCTCCCCTGCCTGGGGTTACTCCTCTCTGCAATCCGCGTCATGCGGGTGCGTGGCTGCCTCCGCGCTCTCTCTCCCCCCCCCACCCCCTGGAGAAGGGTAGCTCTCCGGCCCAAGGCCCCGAAGCGCGCAGCATGGCCATCTTCGCGCCCCAACGGCTTAGCCTTACCAGCCTTGAATGGCGTCCACGACCCTCGAGGGGTACCCCTGAGGTGCATATCGGCCAAGTTGCGCACCTTCGAGTGCCCTTCGTAGCGTTGGCGCCACCCTCTCCTGCACGTGTAATGACTGGCCGACAATCATCGTCGTGGTCTGAATTGAATGATCCATGTCTGCCAGCACAACCATCATTCTCGCTTTTCCCATCCGCCAGGTGGTCCTTCCTGGTGCTGTTCCCCAGGGACGTTGGCCGGCATCTCATACACGACATGTCTGACCGACATCTGCTGTGCCCGGGTCATTAATAGCATGCTCCATGCTTACCACGAAAGACACAGCCTTCATTTCAAATGTCATACAAGCGCAGGTTAATGTAGACGCGTTTCTTACAAGATTTGGCATCGGCGCAACTGTTACCAACCACTAACCAAACGCTGCAACGTGTTCCGCTGAGCCGTGAACGTAGCAGATAGAAGTGGCAAGGCAGGGTGCGTTGGCTGCACCAGCCTTGCACACACTCTCGGCCGAACGCGCCAGGCTGATCGAACCAACTTGCTGTTTCACCGATGCTATTACGCGGATTCATGAGCGAACTCATCTGCAGGATAACGTAAGACAAACCGCGGTGGGCACCACTTCTACAGACCCCACTATCTTAGCAAGGTGGAACGCCTTGTCTACCAACGGGCACTGCAAGGAAACCATTATGTCGCCCATGTCTGTTATGATCAGCTCGCTAGTTGTCGTAATATGCTTGTTTGTCGTCATCAATTGCGCAGTGCTCTTTTCTGCGATACCCTCGTTGCACATCGCTGAGAACTCTCATTGTCACTCCATTTGATCTTGCAGATATCAATGTAAAACCTGCGAATTAGACTACAGACAATGTTCGATACTTTCGAGAAGACACGCGACCTGCGCCCACCTCGTTACTAGCGTCACGTTCACTTCGAACGGCGTGCGCTTACAATCGCTGGACGTTTTGGCAAGCTACAATTTTCGGATTCTAGATGGCTCCGATGCTTCATGATCGCTAGCGAATCACGGGTATTAAAATACCACGTGTACTGTATCAACCGTGGGCTTCTTAGCGCCCCTCACTTAAACACTCAGAAATCAGAGATGGGTGATACCTTGAACTCGCTGGATACATAACAAGCCAGGGTCAAGCATACGATCCAGTGGGCAAACCTACGCAAAGAACCAACTTCGACATCAGGAGAGGCTAGTCGATAACCTGCCGTTCAAGCGGGATCCAGCCGTGGCCACGAGGGCGCCCCTAGAGGCACACGAATCGCCTAAAACGAGTGGAAATCCCCGGAAGCCTCGATACGACGACGACGACGACGACGATAAACGAAGACGATGAGCGAAGAAGACGACGACGACGAGCGACGACGACGACGACAGTCCCAAGAGATCCCTGAGGTCCCTGGAGGCCTCAGGAGGCCTTCACAGACGCAAAAGTAACAAAAACAGGAAAAACGTCGAAATAAACTCAATCAACGATCCCCTTCAATGACAACGACGACGACGACGACGACGACGACAACAAGCGAGCAACAAGAGACGAGCAACGACGGCAAGCGACGAGCGATGACGACAGTGATACCAGCTGCGACGACGACGACAACGGCATCGACGACGACCATGACGGCGGCGACGACGACAACGGTCCCTCAAGGTCACTCTGGACGCTGGAGACAACGTCAAGAAACCTCAACCTCGATCCCCCTCGATACTCGATCCTACTCGATCCTGCCCATCCTATTCGATCATTTGTGATCTCCAATCCACTGCAATCCTCGATCCTCATGCTCGTTCCTATCCTCGATCCTCATGCTCGTTCCTCCTCCGTCCAAATACCTAGGTCCTCGATATCCCCCGACGACGACAACGGAGTCGATTCCGGCGACCCCTTGGAGGTCAGAACCTCTTCCCCTGGACAAGCTTTCACTCAGAAACAAACTGGGCCCCTCAAGAGCCCCTCAGAGGCCGAAAACAGCCAGAAACCTTCTGGCATGATTTTCAGCTCACGACTAAACATGGGACTCTCGATTCACGACGACGACAAAGACGACGACGACGACGACGGCGACCCACGATGCTAGACGACGATGGAAACGACGAGCGTCGACGACGACGACCGAAACGACAATCCTCGGTCTTCAACGACGACGAAGACGATCCTCGATCCGCGACGACCACGGATACGACGAGCGTCGACGACGATGGCGATGGCAACGACGACGACGACGACCATCCTCGGTCCTCGCCGTCGACGACGAGCGGCGACGACGGTCCCCGACCTGGGGGACACAAAAGTACCGATACCGCTACTCCCCGGACCTTTCCCAGGGAACGTTCAGGCCAGGATTTCGAAGCGTGTCCAGCCGTGGCGACGAGGGCCTCCCAGGAAGCCGAAAAACGCGAAAACGAGAGAAAGCGGCGGTATACCTCGTCCTCCTCTGACCGACGACGATCCCCGACGACAAGCGACGACGGTGAACGGGGACGACGAGCGGCGACGGCGAGCGGCAGCGGCGAGCGGCGAACGGCGCGACCGGCCCCCGCAGCGCCACGGAGAGCGCCCAGCTGGGGCACGGCACGTGGAGCTCCAGGCGCGCCGCCTCGGCCAAGGATTTGTTCTGCGGTGGGCCACCGTCTCACCGCTCGCCGTTCGCTCGACGACCGAGGCTCGAAACCATCATGTATCGACCCCGCTCAAAAAATGCAGAAATATGGGGTCTAGGGCTGCGGTGGTGGTTTATAGCGGTGTTGCATTATTTGAGCAACGTCGGATCTCAGGGAAGCAGCAAGGCTCGCGGAACCCCAGGCTCGGGGCCTGAATTCGAGGCTCGAGCCTCGAGCTTTATACGGCTGATGGCGAAGCCGTCGTCGTCGTCGACGACGTCGCCGCCGTCGTCGCCACCGTCGTCTTCATCATCGTCGCTGTCATGGGGTGGTGGTCGTCGTCGTCGTCGTCGTCTCCTGGTCGTCGTCGTCGTCTCCGTCGTCGTCGTCGTCGTCGCCATCGTCGTCGTCGTCGTCGTCGTCGCGGTTCGAGGCTTGACGCGCGAGGCACGCGGAGTTCCAGGCGCGCCGCCTCGGCCAGAAGGCCGCGGTGGCCAGCTGCTCGTTGTCGTCGCCGTCGTCGCCAGCCACGATCGATGCTCGATCCTGACCTCTCCGATTGTGAAGATTACGGCGTTCGGGTTTCGTCCATGTCTTCGTCGTCGACGACTGTCGAGGCTAGGCCCAGGCCGCTCTCGTTGTGAAAGTTAATGCTGTTGTAAATGGGGGGCGGCGAACTCCGCAGGAGCACTTTGTTTGCACTCGCTGATATAGTCTCTTGAACACCACCAAGTCATCGCTTAAATCAGCACTCGATAAGTATATGCTGACTGCTGCCTACAGCTATGTGTGTAGATTTCCCGTGTCATCAGAAACAGGATGTATTTTCAAACTTGAAAGAAAAGAGGCCTAGCCTGGGATGTAAGCACAGGCGCCAACACATTATTGAGAGGTCGGGGGCACGCCTGGGCAATTGCGGTCCACCTCACCCCCTCGGGCGAGGCCCCTTCGAGCACGCGATGCGGCCTGCCGGTCCGGCTACAGACTCTGGCACGCCCAACACAGTTCTCTGCAACTTAGCGAGCTCATCGGGGTGCGGGTGGCCGGTCAGGAAGCGAGCCCGCTTCCTCCATCTGGTACCAAACTGGCAAACATTTGAGCAACTGTAGAGACGTCGGGCCTGCCCGCGAGGAAAAGGAGCTCTGGATATTTAAACATGTAGCTACTATGCGGGTTCTCCAAAATCCATGGGGCGTCTGCGGAATTGCACGCTGACGCTATTTTCAACACAACGCGCAAACACTTGTTGCCGGCCTGAAGTTTTGCCCAGTCAGTTAGGGGCATCTGGGGCCGCGGAAAGCCTCGAGCACGCGTCGAACTGCGGATCGGGGCAGAGCGGGCCTTTACGATAGGTAAAGAGGAGCAGGGCGGCGCAAGCATCACGCTCCGACATCTCTCGGCACGGATGTCCGACAGGAGACGGCGCGGGGCGCGCGGCGCGGCCAGGTCGCCGCGGCCGCCGCGGGAACTCTCCCAGACGCGCGCCTGGAAGCCGCGCCTCCCGATGGCCTTGGCCACGCCTCCCTTTCCTGCGAAGGCGCCCGCGAAGAACGCGCCAATCACGCCCCGGCGCCCCCGCGCGGCCACGGGCGACCCGCCCGTGAAGAATGATCGCCTCTGCTCGTCGCCCGCGCTCGGCATCGCACCTCTGGGCTGCGTTCGGGCGCTCGCGGCGCCCGACGGCCAAACGCGCGCGCCGCTTGAGCCGCGTGGCACTCTTGCCGCCGCGCCACTGCCTTCTCCTCTCGATGTCCACCAGCGCCCACGCCGCCCGAGCTGCATCGATGGATGGGCACGAGGGCCATGCCTGGTACGACGCCAGCTTGGGCATGGGAACGGCCTGCGCCGCACGGCGAAACTCCTGCGGCAGTTCGCCGCAGTCGGAAGCTCCCAGCGGCCCGTCGCCCGCCGCCACCTTGAGACGCTCGAGCGCTGGCCCCGTCAACATGGCCCAGGCCGAGCCCAGGGGGGCCGAGACGCTGGCATCGCCGTGCTCGCGGCGACCGGCTCGCTCCTCCGGGTGGACTAGCAGCGACCGGCGGGCCGTCGGCCCCGCCGCCGGGGGGGCCGGCCCCGAGCCGCAGAGACCGAAGGCGCCGATCGCGGCCTCGGGGCGCGCCTCCGCCAGCGCCCGCATCCGCGCGCCTTCCTGGCCTGGGGCCGCGACGCCGCCACGGGCGCCGAGCGCGCCCGAGGGGGCCCGCTTGGCTGAACGCGCGGCCCGGCCGCTGGGAGGCCTCGCCTCTGATGGGACGCGGCGTTGCCGACCATGCTCTCGAGCCTGGGCGGCGGTCGACGGAGCAGAGCCCCGCGGGGCGCCAGCTGGGGGAGCTGCTGGGGCTGGCTCGGATAGCTGATGAGGCTGATGATGTAGCTCATGAGGTTCGGGCCTCGCTGGCTCGCTGAGTTCACTAACTAGATGATGTAGCTCTCGAGGTTCATGTTGATCGGTGGTGCTGTTGCAAGTACTGTGGGAATTTGATGATGTTGCTGTGTCGCGCCTGTTGTCGCGTACATGTAGGCGTGGAAGCTCGCGCGAATGCTCGCCGATGACGCTGGCCCCCCGGGGCTCCTCGGGGGCCTCAACGCTCTGTCGAAGAAGGCGAGGCGGAATACACCAGACTAAAGAACAGGAGGCGTTGTCATCAAATATTCGGGTTGCCCCGTCGGCGCCACTGAGCTCGCTCGGAATCCAACGGGCAGCGAGACGGATGTTGCGAGCCAGGAGGTAGGCGTTGCTTCGCCTGATAATGACCAGCATCGCATAATCCGTTGAACGAGACCTGCAGATGGACAGTACCACTCCCATGTTGTCGCACAGGTGGACGCGCCCGACGTCGTGGCCCCACCGCGTCTGGGCGAGGCGACGGACAGAAGCCAGCGCGGCACGGGCTTCCAAAATGGCGACGCCCTCGGGCCTGCCCCAGACGCCACTGCGGCAGAGGGCCCAGCGGGGCTGCTCGAGCTCCAACGCCCAGGCGCATTCCGGCGCGGCCTCGGGCGCGGGGGGGCGCCAGGGGCCAGCGCGCTCGTCGTCGTCGAAGCTGGCGAGGCGCACGGCGCGCCGACGAGGGCCCAGCTCGAGGTTCAGGCGGAAGCGGGCGCGCTCAGCCACGCGGCCGACCCGGGCAACTGGACGCGACGCCGAAGCCGCTCTCGGAGGCATCAGAGGCCGCGACGCCACGGTTCAAGGGGAGCACCCAGTCGCTGCTGGGGGGGCCCAGCAGCCCGCGGAAGCAGTTCAGCTCCTCGCGGGCGGAGCTCCACACCTCCTGCCTGTCCCAGTAGCTGGCATGCACGGAGGCGTAGCTGGCCGAGAAGGCGCTGAGAACCTCGCGCCCAACGACGTCCGCAAAGGCAGTGGTCCAGCAGGCACTCCAAGTCTTGCCCAAACATCGTCTCCCGCTGCAACGCGTAAGCCAGGGCCTGCTCCAGGCGGGCACGCCTCTTGCCAGTGATGGAAACGCAGGGGGGCCCGCAGTCGATGCTGGCGCCGAGCGCGGCCCCCTTCGACTCGAAAAGCTCCGCCTTGTGGGTGTCCAGCTTCAGCTCGTTGAAAGCCGCGACCTTCCCCTCCAACGCCTTCTTCGCGGAGTGCGAGTCCTGGCCCATGATGCCATGGTTGTCAACGTAGACGCAACGCAAAAGGTCCCGCTCGCCGCCGCCCCCATAGCTTGAAGACCAGGGGCTCGCTGCGGTCGGAGGCCAGGCGGGCCTCGCGCAGCAGGTCGCTCTCCTCCGTCGCCCGGCAAGCCTTGCACTGCCTCCGCTCAGGGGCGATCGCATCCACCGCGCGGGCCAACCGCTGCAGAGCATCGCCATCTGCCAGTTCACCGCACGGCCTGGCAGCCCGTAGCCGCCCACAACGATCCGGAAACGCCCAGCCAACACCTCAAAGTTGGCCAGCGCAGGGGCGCTCACCTGGTCACAGCTGGGCGAGTGGAACATCAGATCGGCCCGGCAGGTGAGGCCGCGCATCACGCAATAGCTCGCATCCGCCTGCTTGGTCCTGGACCACAGCGGCAGCCATAGGCGAAGGTCGCCCCCGCTCCGCTCGATGTGCCTCGTCACCTGCCAGCAGGCGGACGGCCCCCTCAGCGGCCGGCGCAGGACGAGGACGAACGAACTCTCCTGCACAGCCTTGCGATATGTCCCGCGCCTCTCGCCCTGCTCGTCATGGTCGATCCACCGCGCCCTCGCATCCCACGCTGCGCAGGCTGCGTCAACGGGCCCGCGACAGCCTCGGGGAGCCCGACAGGCGGCAGCACTGGCGGCGAGCCCGTGGGGGGCGGGCCGCCCGAGAGAAGCTGCGCGGCGAGCTCGGCGAGCCCGGGGGTTGCGCCCCCCGCACCTTCGGCCAAAGGCACCATGTCCGCTTGGCGCGCGTGGCCAGGACGAACCACCAGCGCTTCGTAGTCCGTGATGCGGAGACCGTCGGCCACAAACTTCACTCCCTATCCAGGTCACCGACACGGCCGCCCCCCACCAGCCTCCACACGCACCTGGGCGGCGTCTCCCAAGGCCAGCGCCGAGGGTACGCATCCCCCGCCGCACTGGCAGCGTCAGGAGCCGCTGCAGCGCCCGTGCCCACCGCGTCGTCGCCAGCGGCATCGCCAGGCGCAGCGCAGCTGCCTGACCGCGCGAGGCCATCGCCCCGCCACGGCAGACGCCGCGGCAGGAAGCGGCCCCCGAACACCGCGTCCAGCAGCATCACTTCCTCGTCCAGCATCACACCATCCAGCAACTTGATGAGGGGATCGTCCGCCGTCGCCTTGTCCTGAAGGGCCAGTCGACGACATTCTCAGATGTAGCGCCGCCGCGCGTCGGGGTCCACGCGCTCGCCGAAGCGGTAGGCCCGCGCCGCGAGGCCCGTCGCGGCCACCTCCTCACAGCCCAAGATCAGGTCAAGTCGCACCCCGGCGGCGCCAGGCACTCCGCAGACAGCGGCGGCAGCCACACGGGCAGCGCTCCAATCGAGAGAACGGTAGAGCGGTGAGGCCGAGCGCCAAGGCCCATCCCTAAGCCCTAAACAGTGCGAGCACACAGGAGCAAGGCCCCAGGGGCCGCGACGCGCAGTTATCCAAGCGCCTCGCGCCCAAAACGGGAAGGGGTCCACACAGGTGGCGACAAAGGCCGCTTGTACATCATTCATGTGCACGCACCCCCATGGCGAAAGGGTTTTCCCGATCTCCTAGCTCCGGGAGCCATTCCCGGGCCCCCGGGTCGCCAAACAACGGCTCGGGGTGAAAAAAATGCTGGGGGACGGGGTTTGGACATCCAGGAGGTCGGACGAAGCTCGATGCTTACGGTTTTTCCACGTTCTTCCCGACTTCGGTGGCCTCCTGGAGGCTTCTCGTGCCCAGAGCTGGATCCGCCGTGAAATTCTACCAAAAGCGCATCCCGGAAGAGGTCCAGGGGTCCGTCGTCGCTTGCCGTCGCTCGTCGTCGCTTGCCGTCGTCGTCGATCGTCGACATCGATCGTCGTCGTGGTCGCTCGTGGTCGTAGGGGTTGCTTGTCAACATCGCTCGTCGTGGTCGATGTCGCCCGTCGTTTTCGACATCCTCGCTCGCCGTTGCTGCTTGTCGTCGTCGACGTCGAAGTTGCCGATCGTTGTCGTCGTCGTCGTCGCTCGTCGTCGACGTCGGCAACGCTCGTGGACATCGTCGTCGCTTGTCATCGCTGTCGCACGGCGTCGAGGCAGTCTCTCGTTACCGTTTATCGTCGTCGTCGAATGTCGCCGCTCAGCGCCGTTGCTCGTAGTGGTCGACATCATCGTCGTCGATCAATGTCGCCGTCGGATTCCCCATCGCACGTCGTCGTCGCTTGACGTCAGCAAACCATCATGACAACGCCCCGCAGGACAGTTACCCTACAGCCTAGCACGAACATGTATCTCCCTGCATCCCTTCATGGATGGCTCGCGCGGCTCTAGACATGGCTGACAACACCTTCAGTCCCAGGGGCCAGAGGGGGGCCAAGCGCCGCTGTGAGCCCCCTGGGAATTATCTCCTCTTGACTCCCTACGCCCGTGCCCACGATAGCAGTTACCCATAAACAAAGCCAAAACGAGGGCCTGGCAGCCCGAATTAACTAATCAAGGGAGATGGTGAGGTTAAAACACCAAGTGGAACCCAAAGCCGTCACACCAGTCCGATGGCAAAGCAGGCATCTCAGTATTCTCCCGTGCAAGATGCTGGTGCGTGACCTTAAAAGTCGGGGGCGGACGTGGGCTCCTCGACACGAGCTCCAGCTTCCAGAAAATATCTCCTGACTGTGGCCAGAGCTCCACCATACCCTACATGGCTCCAACCATTCTCTTTCACAATCCATACACTGACGAATTATACGAATCTCAGGCTGGTGCACATAGTCGGTATCATCAGCATGCTTAGCCAGCTCATCAGACCAAGCAGGCGCCTTGATTCCACGCTGCTCAGCAGGAGCGCTTGCTCCAGACTTCCCGCGTTGGGCGTGGACCTTCCGAAGCACAAACTGTGGGGTCCCAGCGAGCCTCGTATAGCCAGCTTGAGGGCCCCCCGGACCTCGAGACCTCGCCAGGTTGCGTGCACCTAGGACTGCAGCTTTGCAGTCCACTCCTACAGTTGCATCTACTCTGGCTGATCTGGACCCGTCTGCTGTCTTCAATCACCAAGGCATGATGCTCTGCTACCACAGCTGTATTGGGCAGGGAATTGGGGACTGGTCCTCTGATGGCCCCCAGCAGACCTCCCTGCTCGTCCACCAGCACGACAGACCAGCCCGCGCGGCTGGCACCAGGGGGGCATCGCTTGTTTTCATCCTCGCTCATCGTCGAAAATTAATCGTAGGTACGTGAAGTCTTCGACTTCGTCGCTCGTAGTCGGTCGTCGTCGTCCCCGGTCGTGCGTCGCCATCGCAGTTAATTGCAGTCGCTCGTTGTCAACGTCGCTTGTCGTCGCAGTCGTCGCCGCAAATTATCCTCGTAGTGGCTCGTTGTCGTCGTCGATCGTCGATCGTCGTCGGTATAGTAGACCTTGGTCGTTGTCCCAACTAGTTCTTGTCACCGCTTGTCGTCGTCGCATGTTGACGTAGTTGATTGTCGTCGTCGCCAATCATCGTGTTCCCCAGCCACAATCGTCGTCGCTCGTCGTCGTCCTCGTTGCCGTCCATCGTCGTCGTCCCTTGTCGTCGTCGCCGCCGTCGAAGCAATCGGTGTCGTGGTCCCTCGTTGCCGTCGTTGTCGCCTTCGCTCGTCGTCGTCGCGCCGACCAGCAAGTCGTCGTCGTCGTCGTCGTCATCGTCATCATCCCTCGTCGTCGTCTTGTCGTCGTCGTCGTCGTTCCTCGTCATCCCTCGTCGTGGTCGTGGTCGTGGTCGTCGTCGTCGTCGTCGCCGTCGTCGTCGCCGTCGTCGTCGTCGAAGTCGCCGCTGTCGTCACTCGCCGGTCCAGCTGGCCGTCGCGGCTGGCGCCGCTTTCGGAACCGCCTTGGCGCCCGCGGGTTGCGCGGCGCTGGACACGGCGGCTGCCTCCGCGCATGGGGCGGCGGCGACCTCGGCCTCGCGCCGGGCACGGGGCGCGGGCTGCCGCGCCGAACCAGCACTCAAAACTTCTGCCAAGAAATCTTCCAGTAAGAAATTGAGATGCAGCTTCGCTGAATTTCTCAGCCCTCTTGCAAAAGCCAACTTTGAATCGTGCAGTTTCTTACCGCCGCGCGGCGCCAGTGTTGGTGGTTGTGATAAAGATTGTGACGGTGATGATGCCGATTCCGGGGCCGGGGGCTCTGCAGCAATGAATGAAATACAACATGCAGGAACATGTGGAGAAACATGCGACGGCTGGAAGATTAGAAGAAAGATCTGGGGAATATCTTCAATCGAGGGAAGATCTCAAGGAAGACACCAGTGAAGATCTGGGTGAAGATCTGGACGAAGACTTGGAGAAGATCTGGGAGAAGATCTGGAGGAAGATCTAGAGAAACATCTGGTGGAAGATATGGGGGATATCTAGAGAAGAGATCTCGAGGAAGACCCGGGTGAAGATCTGGGTGAAGATCCGGGTGAAGATCTAGGGGAAGGTCTGGGTGAAGATGTGGGGTAATATCTGGAGGAAGATCTGAGGAAAGATCTGGAAGAAGATCTACAGGAGAGATCTCGGGAAAGATCTGGGTGGATATTTTGGGGGAGATCTGGAAAAGATCTGGGGGGAATTCTGGTGGAGAGTTGGAGAAAAATCTGAAGGAAGATCTGGAGGAAAATGTCGGGGAAGATCTGGGAGAAGATCTGGGGGGAGATCTGGGCAAGATCTGGAAGAAGATCTGGAGGAACGTCTGGAGACACATGCGGAGGAGAGATCTCAAGGATGATCTGGGTGCAGATCTGGTCAAAGATCTGGAGGAAGATCTGGAGAAGATCTGGGGATCTGGGGGAAGATATGGAGAAACATCTGGTGCAGCATCTGGAGGAGATATCTTTGGAAGGATCTGGGTGAAGATCTGGGTGAATATCTGGGTGAAGGTCTGGGAGAAGATCTGGGGGCTGATCTGGGTGAAGATCTGGATGAGAGGTCTGGGGGAAGATCTGGAGGAGAGATCGGGGAAAGTCTGGGTGAAAATCTGGGGGGAAATCTGAAGGTCTGGAGAAAGATCTGTGGAAGATCTGGAGGAGAGATCTCGGTGAAAATCTTGGTGAAGATCTGCGGTAATATCAGAAAGAATGTATGAAGGAAGATGTGGGCGAAGATCTGGGTGAAGATTTGGGTGAAGATCTGGGAAACATCTGGGGAAGATCTAGGCAGATGAACTAGGAAGACCTAGAGGAAGATCTGAAGGAAAATCTGGAGGATGACCTGGAGAAGATCTGAGGGCAGACCTGGGTGAAGATCTGGATGAGAGGTCTGGGGGAAGATCTGGAGGAGAGATCTCGGGGAAAGTCTGGGTGAAGATCTGGGGCAATATCTGGAGGAAGATATGGCGAAAGATCTTGGGGGGAGATTTTGGGGAGAGATCTCGGTAAAGATCTGGGCGAAGATCTGGGTGAAGATCTGGGGTAATATCTGAAATAATATATGGAGGTAGGTCAGGGTGAAGGTCTGGGAGAAGATCTGGGGAAGATCTAGGCATATGAACTAGGAAGGTCTAAAGGAAGGTCTGGATGAAGATCTGGGATAATATGGAGAAGATCTGGGGCAACATATGGAGGAAGATCTGTAGAAAGATCTGGGGGAAGACCTGGAGGACAGATGTCGGTGAAGATCTGGGTGAGGATCTGGGGCAAGATGTGCGGTAAGACCTGACATAATATATGAAGGAAGATCTGGGGGAAGATCTGGGGGAAGATCTGGGGGAAGATCTGGGGGAAGATCTAGGCAGATGGACTAGGAGCATCGACAGGAAGATCTGGATGAAGACCTGGGGGGTGATCTGGAGAAGAACTGGGGCAAGATCTGGAGGAAGATATGGAAAAAGCCATTGGGGGAAATCTGGGGGAAATATCTCGGCGGAGATTTGGGTGAATGTCTGGGTGAATATCTGGAGTAAGACCTGGAAGGATATATGAAGGAAGATCTGGGTGAAGATCGGGGTGAAGATCTGGGAGAAGATCTGGGGACGATCTAAGCAGATGAACCAGGAAGATTTGGGGTAAGATCTGGAGGAAGATCTGGGAGAAGATCTGGGTGAAGATCTGGGGGGGGGGGCATCTGGGTGAAGATCTGGAGAAACATCTAAGTGCGCACATCGGCTCCCGGCCTGGCCCAGACGGGGCATGTACACAGATGTTGGTGCATACGTTACCAGACGTCCAACGTCGTGCTTTCTATCTTTCGATGCTTGACCCCCAGACCTCTCAACCTCTACAAGGGGACGGGCTTCTCGTCGTGGGTCGCTTGTTGCTGGCCCTGAGGCCCGAAAACGGTCCCTGGAGGCAGAGAGTGATGGACGGCCACCCGCCCTGATTTATCACGCCGTTGGAACTCCGGGTCCCTCTCCCTCGGTGAGTTCCGACCAAAACTTCGAGGGGGATGCAGCGGTGGCCACGAGGGAGGCACAGAAGGCCCAAAGAGGCCCAACGCTGTCCGAAAACCTAGATCTCCTAAAGAAGGGCTCATTGATCCTGGAACCTCGGCCCTCTATTCGGTTTGAAGGTATTCAACAGGAGACGACGACAACGACGACGGCGGTGGCGACGAAGACGACGACGGTGACGACGACGACGACGACGATCACGACAACAACGAGGACGACGACGACGACGACGACGACGACGAGGACGACGACGACGACGACGACGACGACGACGACGACGACGGCGGCGGTGACATGGAGGTCAGGGTGCCGTAAACGAGGACTTTTGATGAACCAGCAGATTGGCACGAACGCGAAAGATGCAGAGACACGTTCCATCATTCGTTTCTCCGGTCGAAATTTGCACACTCTTGTTTCGCAATGTTCTGGTTTGAGGGGGAGCGATGGGAGGAGACTGCATCAGAGGGGGAAAAACATCGGTCTGGAATTGGCCATGCATCGCCGATAGGTCGGCGATAGGCCCTTGATAGCGACACCGCACGTTCCTCGGCGGGTAGGGCTATCAATCGGGCCCACATATCAGCGGTGAGTGGGCGAGCGGGGGGTCGAAGCGCTCCCCCCTGAGCCTACCCCCATTGAGCCTACCCCCAGACGCTGCCCGTTGGCCTCGGGGTCATAACTCTGGTCTCCAGCGGCCGTTCGGGAAGATGCAGGCATCCCCAGAACGCCCTCGGCGAGGCGCAGCTGCTGGAGAGCACCCCAAGGCTGGAAGACCCTCGAGAACCGACGAGAACGTCCGAAGGCTTCGAACCTCGAGTGTCAGCCGATCGCCCGGGGGTCAGAAGTCGGTCTGTGGACCTCTCCTAGGCTGCGTTTCGAACAGAATTTCGAAGCCTATCCAGACGCGGCGACGTGGAGGCCAAGAAAAGCCCACAAACACCAGAAATCGTAGATCCTCGGACCTCGAGCCTCGAGCCTCGAACCTTAAATCTCGACTTCTACTGACAAAGCCCCTTACGGTCATGAAATTATGCTCAGCGTGTCGCGGCGGCGGCCTGACGACACGCCATGCCTTGCAAGCGGATGGCGTGTCGCTCCGCTCCGCGGGGCGGGAGGCTCGGAAAAGCATGAAAGTTGACGCCGGACTGGGAAGTGGATAGCGTGTCGCGCCGCAACGTGGTGGCCAGAAACAGGCGGAATGACGTTTGTGTCGCGGCGACTTGCATCTAAGACGCGGTCGGGGAAGCCAAGGGACGCTTCGGGGCCAAATTGGGCACAACAGGAGCACAGGCGGAGCGACACGCTGAGCAACAGTTCACATTGCTCTAAGGGCCCCGAGGAGGCCTGGGCCTCGGAGAGCAGAAGCCGCAGCGCCTGCGCGCGCTCCCGCTGCCGCAGCACGGCCTCGGGCGCCCAGCGCGCGAACCGAGTCGACGACGACGACGACGACGACGACGACGACGACGACGACGACGACGACGACGACGACGACGACGACGGCGGCGGCGGCGGCGTGGACGACGTGCACCGACACGACGACGACGACGACGACGACGACGACGACGACGACGACGACGACGACGACGACCGCCACGACGACGGCGGCGACGGCGACGGCGACGGCAGTGGCGATGGCGGAGGCGGCACCAGCGCGCGACGACGGCAGCGGCGACGGTGGCGGCGGCGACGGCGGCGACGATGGCCTCAATTGCCTGGCGGTTCGCGCGGAGAGCGGAGATCCCCGCATTGGCCCCCCCGCGGAGGCCCCCGCGGAGGATCCAAGAGAGGTCCAAGAAGAGCGAAGACACAGAAATACCTGGATCCTCGATCCTGCCGCGACGATCCTGGATCGTCGACCATGGATCCTGGATCTGCCTCGCCTTCCGATCCTTCTCCTTGATCCTCGATCCTCCTTCGATTTTCAATCCTCGACCTCGACGCTCGATCATCGAGCCTCCCCGAGCCTCTCGATCCTAGATCCTCCCCATCCTCGATCATCGAACCTCGCTCCCCGACCCTCGCGAACCTCCACCCTCGGTCCTCGACCGTTGCCGTCGTCATCCCCGTCGGCGCCGTCGTCGGCGCCGTCGTCCCCAGACCTCCGACGTGCATGTTTGCTGTCAGGACCGCTTCTTCTCCGCCCTTTGCCGTCTTGCTGACCGCCTCCAAGGGACCCCAAAAGGCCGAAAATGACCACGAGCCTTCCGCCACGTGATGGTTGCTTCCACGACTCGGGGAGGTCTGAGTCGGCTGAGGGGGAACGATCAGGGGGGGACTGGCTCAGGGGGGAGGAACATTGACCCCGAATCGGCGATACATCGCCGATAGATCGGCGACCGAAGCCGATTGTGAAACCGCACGTCGGTGGGTGGAACAAAAAGGGCCGATGCCCCGGACGGCGATGATTGGGCGATTTGGGGGACTGATGCTTTCCCCCAATCCCCCCGTCGTTGCGCCTGGTCGGCGCCGTCGCCGTCGCCGTCGCCGTCGTCGGCGCCGTCGGCCAGCGGCGGCGTTCGCTCTGGCGGCGCCGTCGTCGGCGGTGGCGTCGTCGCTGCTTGGTCGAAGGCCGAGGACCGAGGGTGGATGCTCGCGAGGGAGGAAACCGGGGTTCCAGGATCGCGGGTTGAGGATGGGAATCCCAACATCTGATGTCTCGATCTTTTCAATACGGGGTCCCCCGAACTCCCGACCCTTTCCTCAGGGCCAGCTTTTCATCCCGAATCATTTCTTGACAGGCCCGGGATGCAGCGAGGGCCGCCAGAGGCCGAAAAAGGCAAAAAACCTTCCGCGGCGAGGTTTCTATCACGACGCGAGCATGTCTCGGGAGACTCGAGGAGGGCCGATGATCGAGCGACAAGGCATCGGCGGCGGCGACGTTCCCAGGCATCCTCCGACACGACTCTTGCCTCGACCCCTTCCGCCAGGGCAGTGTCTCGCCCCGGACCCGTCTCTGATGGCCATGAGGGCTGGGCCGACACGAAGAAAAAACGCACGCATCGAAAAGATCATACTGCCGGAGATCTCGGGCGTAGACAGAGCCCCCATTCAGCAGCAAACCACCCTTTCGTGGAAGCTGCCAGGGTCGACGTCCAGAAACAGCTGAACATATCCAGCGAAACGCACGATAATCAGCGAAACCGGGCGGGGACTCCTCTGGCACTCTTGAATGCCACTGTCGAGGGAACCCGTGCAGATTTCCTGTCGACTTGTCTGGGGGAGCGTTCTGTCAATGCCCGAAAATATGGTGCCTCGGCGGCGGCGGCGTTCGCTGCAGCAGCGCCATCGGCGGCGGCGTTCGCTCTGGCGGCCGACGCGGCCATCAAGAGTCGGATCGGCAGACAGAAATCGGCAGGCTAGTACGGCCCCATCGAGAAACCGGGAACACACACACACACACACACACATCGGAACCCGAGGTCGAATCTTATGTCGGAATCGAAATCGACCGAAATCGAATCGAATCGAGTCGGAGGAGTTGAAATGAGCCCTCGGCCCCCCAGTCTCGAACCACCCCATTCCGTCTTTTCACCCTGAGTCGGTTTGTTGACGGTCCCCGGGCCTGGTGAGGGCCTGAAGTGGCCGGAAATAATGAAAAGCCCGCATCTTCATTGTTGCGATGCGTTGGATCTCTGGGAAGATCTGGGGCCTCGGCGGCGGCGGCGTGCGCTTTGGCGGCGCCGTCGGCGGGTGGCGGCCGCGGTGCGGCTCCGCGCGGCAGCGGCGGCGTGCCTCGGCCAGCGAGCCGCCGCCTTCCGCGCAGGCGTCCGCCACGCGGACGCCGCTCCACTCCTGCAGGGGCCGCCGCCGTCGTCGTCGTCGTCGCCGCCGCCGTCGTCGTCGTCGTCGCCGTCGTCGTCATGGGGCCTCGGCGGCGGCGCCGGCGCCGCCGCCGCCGTCGTCTCCCTCCGCGCGGGCGTCCGCCACGCGGGCGCCGCTCCACTCCTGCAGGAGCCGCCGGCGGAGCTCCGCGTACCTCTGCAGGCAGGCCTCCTGCGGGTAGAGGTTCGAGCTTCGAGGGTCGAGGCTCGCTTTCTGGACTTTCCTGATCATCTGGGGCCTAAGCCCTACAGCCTAAACGCACTCTCGCGGCCACGGCTGGATACGCCTCGAGATTCTGGTCAGAACGCACCTGAGGGGAGGCTCAAGGTCTTCGGGGGTTCGAGGTTCGAGGTTTTCGGGCCCAGCTGAGGGGGGGCCAGCTGAGGGAGACTACGGTCGAGAACCTCTGCAGGCAGGCCTCCTGCGGAGGGGGAAGTAGAGACGTCCTTCTCAGCCAATTCGGCGTCCGAGTCTCAGACATGGTGTGCTGGCACGATCCGGGATTGTCAAACGGTTGGCTTCCAACTGGGCACTTCCATCACTGAAAATGAACCCTTGTAGGAACTTCTGACGCGGGAACTTAGAGGGAGGGTCTGTTGCAACATCGTCGATGGGTCTTGTGTTTGCACGGGTCCTCATTCCTCCTCCTCCTCCTCCTCCTCCGCCTCCTCCTCCTCCTCCTCCTCCTCCTCCTCCTCCTCCTCCTCCTCCTCCTCACTTCTCCTCACTCCTCCTCCTCACTTCTTCTCACTCCTCCTCCTCCTCCTCCTCCTCCTCCTCCTCCTCCTCCTCCTCCTCCTCCTCCTGCGTTGCCAACGGCCTGGCCCCTTGGCCCCCAATTCTCCTCAGGCGCGGGGCGCTGCGGGCCCAGCTGCGGCAGCGGTTCCAGGTCCTCGAGGCCGCCAACCTCGGGGAGGGGGGGGGGGGGGCGGGGCAGAGAGGACCGTGAACCAGCAGCTACGAACGGAGGGGGACACGGAAGAACCCCTCCTCCCCCGCCCTCCAAGACGAGGGCGAAGGACGAGGTTAAGGAGGAGGCGGAACAGGAGGAAGAGGACGGGGGGCGAGGAGGAGGGAGGCTGACGAAGGGCAGGACCCCCGTGGCGCGTGGCGCCGCCCGCGCGGGGATGGATCGAGTTCTTCGTTACGACAACCAGCACCGCGCATCCTCAGAGTAATGGCTGTGGGTCAGATAGACGAGGCCCAGAGCGAAGTGCCCCCAAGACGACCATGAAGTACGGAGCGCCTGTGCATGCGCAAGTAAGTATACACGTCGTCTGCACGGTGTGCTTTGTTTGTTTCGTCGAGGCGCCAAAAGGTGCGAGCGATCGCAAGGAGCACGAGGAAGGGACGGAGTGCATGGTATTGGTGGCGCCCTCTAAGGTAGGCATGCGCTTGGCATGGGGTGCATGGGCACTTTCTGCCTTGAAGGCCCCTGATCGTGTCTGTTGGAAGGGCACGACCATTGTTGAGGGGGCATGGCGCACCGACCGTGTGTCCCACCTCTGGGTGGTGATTCGTATGTGGTGTACGCATACAGGTGTTGCAGTCACCTCCGTTCCTGCTGTTCATGCGGGATGATGTAAACAATGATAGGAAGGCCCCGTTTCATCCCTGCAACTGTTGGAAGCGTTGACAACCAATGTGCGAGGCGCCAAACCCAGCGCTCCATGTTGGACATAACCCGATCCATGCGTGTAAACGTTTCGAACTTCGAGCTCCAAAACCATCAACCGCAATGACAT